GAATCATGTGGCACATCACACACACAGACACAGACATACACACACACACGCGCGCGCCCGAACTCTTACAGACTACAGCTAACCGCCTAAATATATTTGTCTCTCCCTTTTCAGAACTATGTTGATGTGTACATGAATATATATAAAATCCACATGCGTGTTGAATTCATTTACTTTGAAAGTTTTTAACCAAATTAATAACGCTTTCCTGTTATACTATCGAAAATGCATGATTAGTCCGCCATTTGCAATTTGGGAAACGTGCTTGCGCGGACTGGCACGCCTGATATAATTATCGAGAGACGACCATGCAGTCATGTGTGTATAAATCTCAGGTTTTTTCATCCAAAATCGTGAACAAAAGTCTGTTGCGTCTTATCTATTAGTTTAGTACTCAATCCCATTTTTCCTGGGCTGAAAAACGGGCAAAATCTGGTTAAATTGGATCTATTTGTTTATTTGGCTGATTTTTCTTTAGCGGAATATCAACACCTCTAGGGTCTATTTAATGCCGAAATCTAAATATTTTGAACGCAATTTTATGGCTTCAACTAAATATATTTTGAGACGTATCTGTATGCCTTCGACTACAGATAAAATGTGTTGTTGGTAATTTTTTATATAAAAATGTATCACTGGTGTTTTTTAATATAAAAATGTAATGTTATACTTGGATAGTGTGTTTTTGTTTGGGTGTTCACTATTTGTCCATAGCAGGGACCTTAACAGGTGCTACCACCCAGGGTTGGGTTGGGCGTGAGAACAACCGCAGTTAAGAGGTGGTTGCACACTCCTGAAAACCGTCAATTTCCCAATCAGAGACCTTGCTGCCGGATGTAGTTTATTGTCATACCCAGGACTATAATTGCTTAGCAGATAGATATCTATCTAATGGCGTATTGCAATAAAGCGAAATAAATCTTTTTATAATATTTCTCCCGTACGGTTCCATAGATTTTTTTGGGAATAGGCAAATAATTTCCAAAGAAATACCTCAGATTGTCACAAAAAATGAAATCCAAACCAACAAACAAGTTAATATTTATTGGATTTTATTTTGATTTATTTTCTCAATGTGGGGGGCGATTTAGTGGTCGCATACCCCCAAGAGTCCTTATTACGTTTTCATAATGCTTATGAATCACAAAAATAAACAAAATGTCTCGCTTTTTTAATTTTTTCTCCTCCTTTTTTTTCACAAGTTTTGCTTGTTTTTTGTTTGTTTGTTTTTTGTTGTTTTTTTTTGGGGGGGGCTACAAAATCAGGTGCGTCTTATACATGAAAATAACTTTTATTCCTCTGGAATTTCTCTGCTTTTAACTGCGTCTTATACTCCCTCGCTTTTTATGCACAAATGATTACGGTAGTTTATTCTTTCGTGCTTCGCTCCTTTTAGCCTCCACCCATTTATAGTCCCACCTTTCCAACCAACGCCTGTCTTACCCATCTGCATAAGGCTGAAAGTATGGATCATCCATTGATCGACATCGAAGTCGTAATTGATCTAGCGAGACAGGCTTATTAAACCATTATACCACGTCGAAGTGTTCAAGAGAGCAAACTTATCAAAGAGCTCAAGTTAAATAGCAGGGACACCAGAACATATGTGATAACAATATTCTAAAGATGGACGAATGGTAGATTATAGATATGAAACATAGATTCTGAAGAAAAAAAAAAAACTAAAAAAAAAACTAGCAACTCTAAAGTCCGAAGGAATCATTAAAGATCGCCATTATAGTTATGATGGTTTACATGAACAAGAACCAACCGGGCCATATATGCAGTCGCCTGCAAATGAAATTCCAGCTACAACGCAAAGAAAAACAATTTTGTGTAGATAAGAAGCAGGTTTTTCAATCCCAAATTGTGTCCAAAAGTCTGCTGCGTCTTATACATTAGTTTAGAAATCAATTGTATTTTTCCAGGACTCAAAACGGATAAAATCGGGTCAAATTGGATTTATTTGTTTACCAGAGAGATAATATCTATCTAAAGGCTTATGTAACAAAGAGAAATAAACCTTTCATAATTAAGACAAAAACAGACAGACAAGTTTAATATTTATTCAGTTTTATTTTTATTTATTTTCTTCGTGTATGTTGGCGATTTAGTCGCCTTATACCCCAAGAGTCATCATCACGTCTTCGTAATGCTTATATATCACAAAAGTAAACAAAATCTCCCTTTCTTTTTCCTTTAAGCGCTATGTAATTCTGCCCAATCTCCAGTCAATACTAGAAAGAGCTATAACAATTACTGGACCTCAGAAGTCTAATTTCGCGAAAAACTGTTTTAAGAAAAGCATGTTATAAATTTCAACCGATGGTAACGCTGCCAATGAATGTCGAATATTTCCTTATAATGAAACGGTCCTTCCACCCCCCCCTATTCTCGTTACCATTTTAAAACAGGACAAGAGGTGAGCTTTCTGCATGATGAAGTGAAAATGTCTTTGTTCCACGTTAATTTTGATTGCTTATTTCTTCGTTTTATATTATCTTCTCCCACGCCAAAAAAACAAAAAAAAAAAAAAAAAAGATTTCGGGCGCGATTTTCCATCCTGACATCTTCTCAATCATTTTAATTCTTAGGGGACCGAGTTCTACAAGACATGCCATATCCAGAAACAGAACGACATCATTGAAGTAGAAGAAATACACTTCCTGGTGTGTGTGTGTGTGTGTGTGTGTGTGTGAGTGAGTGAGTGAGTGAGTGAGTGAGTGAGAGAGAGAGAGAGAGCATATACATACATATATATTATGTATATTATGCGTTCCTCTATATGTATGTGTGTAAAGACATACGCATATCTGCAACTATATGAATATAGGTATTTAGAAGTAGGGTGCTGAAAAGTTCCCGGCCGGGTCCACTTTTCAAATTTGTCTGAAAGCACAAATAGCTGAATCTCCAGGGAATCCCCTTTTGGTCGTTAGAGAGCGTAAAAAATGTGATGCAATTTGTTTCAATTTATAAGAAATAAGGAAGACAATCAAACCTATTTTACATCGAGATATAGACATATAGATATAGGCTCACATGTCTCCTTCTCGTCACAGTCACCACCTCTACCAGTGGCAGTGTTCTACCTACCGACGAGGTCATGTATCCCAACTTCCTAAACTTCAGCTGGCTGTTGATGTACCCAATTCCTTATATAGTTTTCACTTTTTCATGACCACCTGACTTAGCAAACTCGGGCTTCCGTCTCTTTGGTTCTATGAAAGATCCACTGAGTGGCAAACGTCATCAGCAGCCAGCCGAGTTTTACGAATGTATGTATGTATGTATGTATGTATGTATTCGAACAAAAAAAAAACAAAAGAAATCACATTCCATGTGGATTATTTCAAACTTCAAGCTTTCCAAAGATAGCAGGACGGAGGCAAAGGAATTCTACTTATTACTCAACTTCGAGCACGGTACTCAGCACCTTATTCGAAAATTGGAAAAATGCAATAAAATTAAACAGACGGACGTTGTCGGTTCCTGTTAATCAAATTTTTTTTACTGGTAAATTTTCTGTCAAAGTGGCATGAACTATATTGTTCAATAATTACAGTAATAATTGGATAATAAGTGCGACTTTACTGTAAAAAAAATTCGTTCATCACCATATTTATATGAACGCACAACCTTTAAAAATTTAAAATCAAACTCAGCGTTGCTACTGGCGCGCTCCAAAAACAATAACTCATTTTCAATAGCATTTTCGGATACAACAATACATATATTTTCGTTGTCCTCTTATTACTAAGAGAAAAAACAAGAACAACATCTATTCTATACCTGAAGATGTCTGTAGGAACAGACGAAAGCTTGTAGTAAAAAATAAGAACTAATACGGCAGAAATTTATGGAAACAAGGATCAATTCATTCATAACGGATTCGGAGGTTTTGTATATTATTTGAATTGTTTTGCGATGATGGATTTCTCGCCAATTAAATCATTAACCTTTGCTTTTGTTTTTTGTGTGAATAATTCATGAATATATATATATATATATATATATATATATATATATATATATATATATATATATTCATATAATTATATATATATATATATATACACATACACACACACATATATATATATCATCATTTCAACAAAAGAGATCAATTAGAAAAAGTCCAACTCAGTCCATACGACGTTTGGTACGTAAGAGAAGAGTTTCAACTATGGCAGTCCAAAGAGCAGTTAAAAAACTCTTGAAACTGAAATTGTAGGTGAAAACTCTAAGGTACCTTGTTACTCCAGGACAGAAAGTTAGAAGGTTATCAGAGATAGACCGCATGTAAATATATAAATAGACATTGAATCAACTCCCAACGGCGACATATGTAGCCCCCACTTTTTTTTCGCACATTATACCTTCTTGTCAGTCATGTCTTTGATTATGTTCCCTAAACTCTTCCATATCGGTTACATTTAACATTCAAGTGTATTCTTTAATTTCTCGGACATTCGGTGCCAAAACTTTCTGCTTAGAAGCAATAAAGTGCGTTTTTCTTTCTTCTCATATGTAACCAACTGCCTTTCTTAAGAATTCTCAATATCCAGGAAACCTTTCCATAAATCTAATGTTTCTAGCAACCAATGGGGAGAACTTAACCCACTCTCTGTTGGTTCTAGTCCAAATCCCTTTTGTCTGAAGAATAAACCTCTACCGATGCCATTAATATCGGTAATTCTCCAAATGGCTTCGGACATATTTGCCCCAACACCCTACAAATACCCGGATTCCCACCCTTAGATTGATCGAGCGCTTTATTCACTGGTACTTAGCCAAATTCCTGAACCAAAATATTTTCGAGGTGTTAAAGAAAGGAAATCATGAGAATCAGGTCGCAGGGTGTGCTGATCTGGGGTTAGAAAGGACTGGAAAGGTGGTTAAGAGATGCGTAGAATACAATGAGATTAAAATGATTAATGGAAGATAAAATGTGTAATATGAAGATTGAGGGAGAGGAAGGGAATATGGAATGATAATATCTAAAGTGAAAATAAGATGCCGTATGAATAGTGAAAGTGAAAGTAGGCTATCATCGAGAGAGAGTGAACATTGAAAGTGAAAGTGAGATAGGAACATTGAAAGTGAAAGTAAGTTGTCATGAGAATAGTAAAATCGAGTAGCAGATTACAGATGTAAAAGAGAAATGGGAGAAGAGAATGAGGATAAGAATAAGAAAGGAAGGACAGACAAAAATGAAAGAAGACGAAAGAAATAAAATTAGAAGCAAACAGAGATATATAAAAACGGTATCTAAATAGAAAAAAAGAATGCTGAAAATATGGAAAATCGAGAGCCGGAGTAAAATAAAATTTGTATAAGACGGTCAAAATCTGTCTATATCCCTGAGATGACGTAATTATTTACATTATTTACATTGTTCGGACTGTTGTCCTCATCTTTACCCCATATTGTATTCATTTCTATACTTGGCCGGCTTAGGACACATGGTCCAGTAGATGTCCTCAAGGACATTTCCCAGTGGATAAAAGCGTTGGTTGGCTCCAGTGACTTGACCCAGAGAGTTGTGAGTTCAATACATGGCTACGGCAGTGGTGAACAAAAACTTGGATAGTTGAGTAACTGAGACATCCGGAAGAGGCATGGCACGTAGAACTAGAACAATCTACCCTGGTCGGCGAAATAAAGGGTTCAGTTCGAAATTCCAATCACCTGAAGAAGGACGGTCAAAACGCCGTGAACATGACAATAAAGATGAGGACAACAGTCCGAACAATGTAAATAATGTAAAGAGGGTCAGAGGTTGAAATAATATTTTAATCGGTTTCAACTCATGCAAAGCAGTAAAGCCACTAAGACACAAGGGATTACTGGGTGTGGAAGAATTAGGAACAGAAATTTAGGAGGACAATAGACAATGATTGACATTGTATTTAATATTTTGCAGATTAAAGTTGGTTGGAAGGAAGTTCCACAGAGATCGAGCATTCTCTGGTTTTCTTAAAAGCGGGTACTGGGGGTTTCAAACTCACGAAGAATGTCTTTAGAGATAAGCTTATTAACACTATAGATATCAAAAGAATGGAGAGTAGATGTTACGTAGATGTTTGCGAAGCTAGAGTAAAAGTTTATCTGAATATGGTACAGTTAGTGGAAACCCAATGAGGATTGAAGTAAATGCCAACAGTCAGTTTTAACATTTGCTGTGTAGTGGGCACCTTGATAAGGAATGGAAAAGAAAGTATGTGACATCGTAAAACGAGAGTAAAAAAGGAGAGAGGGGGGAATAGAAGAGAGAGGTTAAGAGAAGAGAGGTGGGAAGAGGAGATAGGGTAGGGAAGAGGAGAGAGAGAGAGAGGTGCGAAAAGGAGAGAGAGGTGGGAAGAGGAGATAGAGAGGGGAAGAGTAGACAGAGGGAAGATGAGAGAATGGTGGAAGAAGAGAGAGGGGGAGCGGAGAAAGAGAGGGGAGAGGAGAGAAGGGAAGAGGAGAAAAAAGGGGAAGAGAAGAGAGAGGTGGAAGAGTAGAGAGAGAGTGGGAAGAGGAGAGAGTGAGATGAGGCAAGAAAAGGGAGCGACATAGGAAGAGAGTCAATATGAGAAAAGTGTTGGAGAAAAAGAGAGAGCGCAAAAGAGTAGAAGAGGGAGGGGGAAAGTCATATTTAAAGAGAGTAAGGAATAAATCATCAGAAGTTGGAGAAGGTGTCGTGGCTTCTAGCGGAGCCGGGGAAGTAAATATATTAAAGAAAAGGGATGAAATTCTCGTCAATTAAGGTGGGTGGAACCATTCCTTAACCTCCCTTCCGTACCTCTCACCCACCCCAATCCTTCTTCTACCACCACCGCCACCATCTTACAGCAATAACGCCTTCTCGACTCGTTCCTTCTGGCTTGTTAATTAGAGAGGATGCGATTTAAACGAGTTATTATTACAAAAGGAAAGGTTCGGACGAACATGTGCTGTCCTCGTGAAGATGGCGACAAAGGCAAAAGAAGCGATCGTTGGAGACTAGCGTCCATCTGGCGACGATGGCGGCTACACCGATATTGTTAAATCAGTACTATTGTGTTCCCGCACCCCCGAGCCTTAAACCTCTTTACTACCGGCTCCTATGCGACCATAACCGCATTCTTTGTCATAACCACAGCCATTGAGAGTCCTTCAGAAACGTAACGAAACAACTGAACAAAACAATAGGGCAGCCACAACGAAGTTGACGACACCTGATAAAAAAAATATATGTAAAAACAGCAAAGAAAATCCAGCACTATCCCTACCCACAGAAAAAATAAATTGTCGAAATTAGTGACAGCCGCAAATATCAAAAAGCCGAGGACATGGGCGATAATGATATTCGTACTCATCATGAGAAGGTGAATGTTTAAACCAAATTATTCAGAACATAGGCAATCATGGCTCTCTACAACTTCCTGTCCCTTATAGCTCTTAATAAATTTTGCCTTTCTGTTATTTCTTCTAAACCCTGTTCTGCCACTCATTTACTGAAACTCACGTATCCTACGCGTTGTTTTCCTGCCTTTCTTTCTTTCAATCTGTCCTGTGAGTATTAAAATTCCCAAGCCCTCTTTCCTCATTATTTGCCCTAGAAATCACAAATGTCTTTTCCTAATGCTAAGTAGAAGTTTTCTTTTTGTTTCCATTTTCTTCAAAATTTCGTGTTTGTTCACATGTCCACTCCGCGATATCCTCAGCATCTTTCTGTAGAATCACATTTCTCGTGCTTCAAGTCCCTTCTTCATCTTTGAGGAGATTGTCCATCACTCGCTGTCATCTTCAAAACTTTAAAATCGCCATCATTTTCTATCTCATTGAATCCTGTTCTTTTTAATGTCCATTCTCCTCTGTAACATTTAACTCGGCTTCCTTCACGCTATTAACTACTATCCCTTGCATCTTAGTGGCTTTATCGCCTTGCTTGGTGAGGGGGAGGTAAAATAAATTATTTAATTAATAAAAAAAAAATGTAATTTATTTTGCCCAAATATAATTCTCTTTTTTCTTTTTCTTTTTCTTTTGTTTTTTCTTTCGACTTTCTTTGCTATATGGTGAAATAAGACAATACCAAAATTGTAACGAGCCCAGCACCATATACTCATGAGAAAATCACAGTTGCGTCTCTGTCTTTGGACAGAGTGCGCTCAGGGGCGACTCCGTCAATGGACAGAGGAAAAAAATACTAAGAGATGCCTGACCCTGGGGAATAGCTGCCCGAGGCCGCGCCTTCTCATTGCACTAGACGGTTGCGTGGGTTCCGGGAATTTTTCTTCCTTGCCCGGGTGTACACGCTCGGGCTCCCCACATTAAACCGACCTTGTGTCACAACCTGACCTCGTGGCGGGGTTGAGTAAATATCTACTCATGAGAAAATCAAGGATTGATTATTTATGCATAAAATATAGGCACTTTCGCATTAATCTCTGATTGGATATTTAATAAGAACTGAACGCGTGAGATCACTAGCCTAATGATTCAAGGCCGGGACGAGTGGAGCACCATAACCTTTCTTTTCTATTACTACATGCTGTAAATATTTAACAAATTATCTTCATATCGCATTTCAAAGATAGTTAAACTGGCACCAATAAGAAATGTACACACGCCGAAAATTTCGCTCTATACGCGGCAGGAGAAAACACGTTGGCGTAATGGATAGCGGCTCGGATTGAGGAATCAGAGAGCCGAGTTCAAATTCCAGTCAAATCCATTACATTCACTTACGTGAATATTTCAATGCTTGAGAAAGCAGGACAGACTGCGTTCTGTAGCCTTGGATGGCAACTGGTCTAGGAGAAGGCACAGTGGAGTAATGGATAGCGGCTCGGTTTGAGGAATCAGAGATCTGAGTTCAAATTCCAGTCGAATCCAGTGCATTCACTTATGTGCTAATAAACTTAGGAAAGATATGAATCCACTTCTTCTCCCACCTAGCTATGGGTAAGTAGCAGGAGAGACCGGGTTCTGTAGCCTTGGATAGCAACTAGTCTACCGCAGAAAGAAATAGCAGGAAAAAATCTGCCTCGTCAGTCTTGTATGGAAATCAGGTTTCATTGTCATATTTTTGTAATGATGATTTTTGTAGAGAGCTATTGATGATATTTTATTTTTCAAAATTTGTTGCTAGTAAGTGCGGGTATTTTTACTATAAAAATCTATTTTTATACTTTCATAATGTTTTGAACCCAGTTTGGGGATTACTATTTGCCCATAACCGGGACCCTAACCGGTGCTACCACCTCGGAGCGAATTGAAATACAAGACTAGATAAGACGAATAGCAAGCGTAAAAATGTCTAATTGTTTCCTCAAGAATCGAAATATAAAATATTGCTAGTATTTTTACTATAAAAATATATTTTTATACTTTCATAGTGTTTTGATCCCAGTTTGAGGGTTAACTATTTGCCCATATCTAACAGCTGCTATCACCTCGAGTCAGGGTGGATCTGGGTACAGCAATTAAGAGTTGGTTCCAAGCTCCTTATCAGAGGCCTTGGATGTAGTTTATCGTCATCCTCAAGACATTGGTGTCGGATTTTCCATCGTCTGTTAAAACACTTCACAGATATTTAAACCTCTGTACTTGACAGCAAATATCGGCTGTTTCCTTTTTTGCCAAAATGTTCGTCGTTGCCCACATGTTCAGTCCACAGTATCCCCAGCATCCTTCTGTAGAGCCACGGTTTATGCTGCTTCAAGTCTCCTCGTCATCTTCGAGGAGATCGTCCAGCGCTCACTATCATAAGGAGGACGAAAGAAGAAGAAAAATATATTATTAGTAAAACCGATAACATCGTATCGAAATTATTCCATCCTTCAATGCGAGTAACTGTCCCTCCTTTTAGTATAAAAGTGATGATGACAAAGACTGATGGTTTATCATAAGTGGCGCGTAATAAGCGGGATGCGGACGGGGCTAGTACGGTGGGGTGGAATAACCCACATCAAGCAGGGGCATTTAGATGTCCAGAAAATGATGATATGCCCGAGGCTTATCTCACATCACAGTAGCTTCTACCAGTGGGGCCAATTATAGAAAGAAAATAGAACAAAGGATCTTGCAGAGGTTGGTGGCGGGGTGGGGGGGACTACAAAAATAAAAATAAAGATACAATTAATAAATAAAAAGAACAGAAAAGGAAATAAATTATCCCGGTACCCCAAGGGAGATAGACATGTCTCATTTCACTCGTTTATTTCTCCTGCACTCCCTATCCCCTCTACCCCTCTCTCTTTTCACTCTCTCTCTCTCTCTCTCTCTCTCTATCTATATATATATATATATATATATATATATGTATATATATATATATATATATATATATATATATATATATATATATAGTATAGTTGTTTGGATGTGAGTTTTTAACCCTAGGTTTCACGCTTTTGCGATCCTCAGACAAATATATATATATATATATATATATATATATATATATATATGTGTGTGTGTGTGTGTGTGTGTGTGTGTGTGTGTGTGTGTGTCTTAGCAGGAGAAACCTTTAATAGGTTCGACGTGCTTGGGACCAACTCTGCCACGAAGGGTCGCACCGATCAACCAAAGCCGAATGGCGACTTACCTACGTAAATAAAGGAATTGGTTTGGAATCTGTCTCAGTTCCCCAACTATGGGCTAAATAGTAGTATGTGTCAAAAGCATTGTTATTCCCCAAAATTATTGATTCAATATACACTAGCAGAAAAAAGAATTATTCTTACAATCCAAAAGTGTTGATAAGCCGTAAAAACTTATCTGTTTCATCAAGTAATGAAAGAATTAATTCTGGGGTTTTTTTTTGTTTTTTGTTTTTTTTTTTTATAATGACGATTATGTTCTTATAAAACGTTTCTTATATTTGAACGGGGTTTTTATGCCATCTTCAAAAATTTGATATTTTCCGAAAATTCCCATACAATATCCTGGGAGCTTCTCTATCATCAAGAAATAAAAGAATTAATTTAATACCAGCTCCGTCTATTGTTAATACGGATTATTATGTTTTTAACAAATACATTTAACATTTCTTTCATTTGGATGGGATTTTTATTCCATCTCCAAAAATGCGACATTACTTTCCGAACAATCTCATGTCATATTCTGAGAGCTTGTCCATCGTCATGAAATAAGAACAATTCATTTTTATGCTGGGATTTTGCAATTGCTAATAAAGATAATTATGGTTTTGAGAAACAAACTTGAAATTTTTCTATATTCGATTAGATCTAAAAAAATTACAACGAACGAATTGATTTGGTTTGGTTTAGGAGTCACGGTGGAGTAATGGCTAGCGGCTCGGATTGTGGAATCAGAGAGCTGAGTTCAAATTCCAGTAGAATCCATTACATTCACTTATGTGCTAATACCCTTAGGAAAGATATGAATCCTCTTCTTTTCCACCCCACCCCCGGCTATGGGTAAGTAGCAGGACAGACCGGGTTCTATAGCCTTGGATAGCAACTAGTCTACCGCAGAAAGAATTGGCAACCTACTGCGGGGAAAAAATCTGCCTCGTCAGTCATATATCGAAAGATACATGATCACCGGAGCGTGTATCACGCA